GAACAAATAGACCAAATATGGAGCCTCTCCCTGTTACTGTGGGCCTCTAAAGCTGCACACTCGCTCACATACGTCCATTTTGATTAAAGGGCCCATATTATGCTGTTTTTGGATCTATGTTATAATGTTCCCTCGTCACAAACAGATCTGGAGTTGTGTTTTGTTTCATTCACATGTGATTAACACACAAACCTGCACATTTAACCTGAGCTCTTCTCTCAAACACAAAAACACTCTGTTCCACATTGTGATTAGGGCTGGGCATCGTTAAGGAGTTGCTGATACGATACATACCTCGACACGGGGCACTTTCAGTTCGATATATTTCAAATCAATTCGATATACTTCAGTAAAAATAAAGGTAAATAAATCGTGGCTGTGATACTAAAAGTCTTTGTTAAATCACTTCTTGTGCAAAGTTCAAATGTGTCGCATAAACGAGTTTTCTTTCTCTAAACCAACAACAAAACTGTAGCTGTAACTAGTATTGTCAAGTGATTAAAAAAATTGAGAGATTAATTAATTATGATCTGTAATGAATTAATCTAATTAATCTCTTTTTTAACCTCACCTAAAAATTGCTGAGAAAATTCTTCAGCTTGAGGTATTTTCATTTGAATTCATTATTTAACGTTACTGAAATTGCGCCTTATAGTCTGAAAAACACAGTAATTGTTGATTAGCCAAACATAACGGAATTCTACAATGACATGTAGATGAAGAAAACTGGGACATTTTCTCATTTTTCCTACATTTTGTTAGATTTATTACTGCGAACAGAGCCTGCTGGAAGAAGCACATTTCCAAACGTCTTTCCTGGTTTGTGACGTAAGTGTGAAAAGGGCCAATCTCTACCAAACTAAGGCTGCGTTCAGACTGCAGGGCTTAACGCTCAATTCCAATTTTTTTGTGAAATCCGATGGTTTTTGCGAGGTCGTTCACATTTCCAGTTAAATGTGACTTGTATGTGACTCCAGTGTGAACATTAAACGGCCCAAAAGTGTCCCACATGTGACACTGGAGACACGACGACGTCAACCACAGCGAGCGTCTCTGTGTTTACAGAAGTTGTCCAAACATGGACGCAGCATTGAGCACCTGGAGATTTTAAAGTTCCTCTCGTACCGGAGCCAGAACATGAACAACTTACTTGTTTTAAGGAGGAGATTGAGAAGGAGAAGGACGAGGTTTTTGGTCGTGGTGTTTTGTGGGACAGCAGCAGTGACACAGAGTTCATTAACAATTTTCGCCTACTTCAGCGCAGAATAGTGACGTTTGTGTCTTGTTGATAACATGTAGGTGGATGAATGTGACCTGACCGTTCAGACTGAAGTCACATGTCAAAAGATCAGATATGTATCAGTTTCAGGAGCACATATCCAAGTGTCCTGGGTCACATTTGAAAAAATCAGATCTGTGTGGTTCAGACTGTCATTAAAAGATCAGATACAGGAACATAGAGGCCAAAAAATCAGATTTGGGTCACTTCAGGCTGCAGTGTGAATGCAGCCTAAAAGTAAAAGGAGCTGTTGACTTGAAAACTAGGAAGCGGAACAGAGCATTTTGAGCACTGGAGATGTCGACGCTACTAAAAAAAAAAGTTGCTCAAACACGTGAAAAACAAAACAAAACACAACTCCAGGTCTGTTTTTGAGGCGGTAACAACATTCTAACATGACTTAAAGCTCAGTCAAAGGAGTCAAATTTGAGTAATATCGGGCTTTTAAGTTGTGCATTTGAGAGACTTCAATGGATTTTTTTTTTTTAAAGCAACATTTTGGATGAGAGAAAATAAATAATAAACTAAAACTGTAGCATTCACACCGGCACGCACACTTTCAATAGTGGTTATTGAGATCAGTTAGACAGTTCGGCTACATACATGTTTTGATTGGTGGAGGAAGAGTAAGAGTAACCATGGTAACACAGGGAGGGCCAGTGCATCGAGAGTCACAGAGGTTCACAAAAAGTTTCAAAAAGGCACAAAGATCATAGTATTTGGTAAAACGACAGCTCAAGTCTCTCCTGAAAGGTAAAGCTCCACTGTGCGACTTTTCCGGTGGAGGGTTCGCCAATCCGTGTGTCATTCTTTCTCTCCAAAAATAAGAAAACGAAATAACAACAGTTTTCTTCATTATTTGTCTCCAAAACCAAAATGAAAAAACAGATAACGACCGTTTCCCGTTTACATGACATCCGTGACTGTGATGTCGGACTTTTGCACCGCATACGGACTGAACCAGGACTGATCCAGGTCCGGGACCAGACCGGGACCAGAGCTGGACCAGAGCTGGACTGAGACCAGGACCAGACCAGGACCAGAGCTGGACTGAGACCGGGACCAGACCGAGACCAAGCCGGGACCAGACCGGAGGCTCAGAGCACACGGCAGGGCCAGAGCTCGAAGCTGAGGCTCAGACTCTGTGGAGGCTCAGTCAAAGCTCGTAGTCCTGCTCTGGTCCTGGTCTGGTCCTGGTCTGGTCCCGCTCTGGTCCCGCTCTGGTGCCGCTCTGGTTTCTAATTTCTGCTAAAATGGTCAAAATATGTTTTGTTTTTTTAAATTTACTAAAAAAGTTGGTCATGTGGATGTTCGCCGCTGGGTCTATGGAGAGGCGAGCCCACTCACAGTAACATGTTGTTGTTGTATTTTTGAGGAGTAAAAACACAGGTAACTGTGTTAATGCAAAAGCTGTTCAAGTTTCACATGTGGAACTTTTCAGGCAAAGCAGTTATATTCCATAGAAACGAGCAGGTCGCGGACACTCCACTGGAAAAGTCACGTAGTATAACTTTAAGAATCCCTAAACTCCCATTCAAAAAGCAGAACTCTCAAGTTTTAACTTATAAAAAAGGTCAAGTGTAAGGTCAGATTTGGGAATATATACAGTAGTAATTTGTTACAAACACAGGGGGCGCTGTACAAAGGGAAATAAAGCAAAGCAGATAAGAAAAGTTACAAAGTTCTGCTTAAAGATTTCCAGAGGGGTGGGCGATATGATGACATCACACTGAACAATCATCAGATTCTGTATCAATCGGTCAGTCAGGACAGTTGTTTCCATGGTGATTTAGTGCTGTTATATTTAAACGTGCACTTGTGTAACTTTTCTGGAATGTTTAACAAAGTGGCATTAAAACTTTCTATCTCCATGGAGACCAAACCTGATGAAGTTACAGGTCAGATCTGCGGAGAGGCGACCCCAGTCAGAACGTCTGTGTGTTTTTTCTAGGTGTTTCTGAGCTATAAATCCACCTGTGACTGAATAAATGTCAAGTAGAGCTGTTTAATGTCACACTGTGGAACATTCCAGGCAGAGCAATGACGTCTCCATAGAAACAAACAGGTGACAGACCCCCGTACAGAAAGTTACACAGCGCACCTTTAAGGCAACTCAAAACAAGACACTTTTCCCCGCCCTCTCCTCCTACTGGCCAGTCTCTAAAGCTCTGAGTGAGTGACAGTCGGATGTGACCAATCAGAATCAAGTGTGAAACCCCAGAAGAAGAACGTGGAAGTAATGACCTCTTAAGACAATATTCATACTTTGCAGCTGGTGTCATCAACATTTCCTGGGTGTGAGATGCTAACTGAAGGCACTGCTCTGTCTGAGGCTCTGTTAGTCTGCATTTGTGCTTTATTTTAACACAATGGGAGCAGAATGAAGAGGCAGGTGAGCTGATTTGTGCAGCTAAACAAGTCTCTCACGTATGAAATTACAGACAGCATCAGCCAAGAGATTTTCGGTTTCTCACACACCCATTTTTGTTCTTAAAACTCTTAAAAAGGACCATGAACACTCATAGTGATCACAGGCTCCTGAAAACATGCTGTTTAAATCCATTTTGTATTTTTACTGGAGTTTTCAGACACACCTCCAGCGTGACGTCACTGCAAAGTATCAATATTTCAGATGACTCCACAACATTCTGCAGGCCAATAACATTTTGCTGCTAAAATGGATATTCTTTAAATGCAAATTTGTGTTCTAATATGTTGAGTTCTTGGGGCTAGTCAGTAATAGAAACGATCAGGTTCAACATTTGTGAATACACGCATCAAGAATGTTGAACTTTAGGTCATTGCGCAGTTCAGTTCATACTGAGAAAGATTTTCTGAAAAAGTGAGCATCAAACCTCCATGTTTGTTTTCCCAGTGGATGTGTCTATTGACAAAGTCGATCTTTTCAAGTCTTTTGAACCATAATCACTTTTGTTTCTGGTTCTGATATTGTCATATTTTAGTTTTGGGATTTGGACATCGTAATTGTGTGGTTGTTGGATCCTAACAGTGGAAAAAGGCTCGAGAAATTTGTTTGTGAACTCCATAAAAGGGAATCAGATGTGTGTGACTGCAGACCTCTGTTCAAAATGTTTCCCTTCCCAACAGAAAAAATAATGAAAAATAGTGAAAAGTGAAGGTGATGGGCCAAATCATCCCGAGTTTGCAGAGAACATTTTGTATGTGGAGCGACAACAAAACAAAACCCCGATCCCTCACTCAACCTCGGTTACAAATTTAAAAAGTCAACACCAAAGCAAAAGGCACCAACTGTTGACCAAGAAACACCTTCCACTGCAAAGAGACGAAGACGTGATGTTGCTGTAAAACCACAAGAACAAGAAAGTGCAGCTCAGTCTGTTTGTCTTCTGTACGTCTCACTTAACAAACTGGATTTTGCTTTGTTGTCACTCCACATACAAAATGTTCTCTGCAAACTCGGGATGATTTGGCCCATCACCTTCACTTTTCACTATTTTTCATTATTTTTTCTGTTGGGAAGGGAAACATTTTGAACAGAGGTCTGCAGTCACACACATCTGATTCCCTTTTATGGAGTTCACAAACAAATTTCTCGAGCCTTTTTCCACTGTTAGGATCCAACAACCACACAATTACGATGTCCAAATCCCAAAACTAAAATATGACAATATCAGAACCAGAAACAAAAGTGATATGGTTCAAAAGACTTGAAAAGATCGACTTTGTCAATAGACACATCCCACTGGGAAAACAAACATGGAGGTTTGATGCTCACTTTTTCGGAAAATCCTTCCCAGTGTGAATTGCGCATTGACCAGAAGTCCAATATTCTTGATGCGTGTATTTACCTCTTGGATATTTCATGACATAGTTCAATGTTCTTAATAAGAAAAACTCTGTCTCCTGCCCTCTTCTGGGAGGATGATATCGTCACATTCTAGAATCTGAAAACCACCAAGAATTGTGATTAAATTATGGCTTTTAAGAATTTATTATTATGTATATGTTTTTGTTTTTTTTTCCATATGGTCCACACTTTCTTTCCAGTGTTAAATCTATGGAGTTAAAGGAGTTTTCTTACAGGGACTTTCAGTTCAGAGACAAGTCGGGCTATAAGCAGAGATAGGCTGGTGCACAGGCTGTACTGTAGTCGGCTGCTTTTTTAGTCCTGGATTTGTTTAGACCTGGGTTAGTCCTGGTTACGGTCTTCTTTAGTACCAGTTTGGTCCTGGTTCAGTCCAAGTTTTGTTTTCTCCTTTAAACCTGTCTTAGTTCCCAGTTAAATCCTGGTTGAGTCCTGGTTAAGTCCTGATCAGTCCAGGTTTTGTTTTCTCCTCGTTTAGTCCTGGCTTAGACCTGGTTTAGTCCTGGTTAAATCCTTCTTCGGCTCCGGTTTGGTCCTGGTTCAGTCCTGGTTTAGTCCTGGTTTTGTTTTTTCCTTTAACCCTGTCTTAGTCCTAGTTAAACCCTGATTGAGTCTTGGTTTTGTGTTCTGCTTGTTTTGTCCTGATTCAGTACTTCTTAACCTGGCCTGGTTTTGTTTTCTCCTAGTTTAGTCCCGTCTTAGTCCTGGTTTAGTCCTGGTTAAATCCTTCTTTAGTCCCAGTTTGGTCCTGGTTCAGTCCTGGATTAGTCCTGGTTTTGTTTTCTCCTTTAACCCTGTCTTAGTCCTGGTTAAATCCTGGCTGAGTCTTGGTTAAGTCTTAGTTTAGTCCTGGTTTTGTTTTCTCCTTGTTTTGTCCTGGCTTAGTCCTGGTTTAGTCCTGGTTAAATCCTTCTTTAGTTCCAGTTTGGTCCTGGTTCAGTCCTGGTTTAATCCTCGTGTCATTTTTGGTATTCAACAGCCGACTACATAAAGCCTCACCTCCAGCCTCTCTGTTTCCAAGGCACAAATCCACCTTTACTTTTAACAAAATCATGCACACACTTTCTTTTTAAACAGCAGTGCGGTTTTAAGGTGCAAAAGCGTCAAATACATAAAATCATCTATGTACAATAATAACATCATAAAATTCACTTGTTTTAAAATGCACGAAAAGTTTTTTTGTCAGGTAAGTGCAGTTTCTTGAGTTGTGAAAAAATGAAGTTTGAAATTTACATAATTAGTTTGAAGAAAATCAAAAAATGACATTTTGACTTAAAGAGGAGGTATTTTACTTTTAGTTGTTTTGACTGTTAAAACGTGACATAAGATCCATCACCGTGTTGCCGTTTATTATTTTGAAAATGCTATATTTACCGAAAAACAACATATTAACGTGTTTTATAAGTTTCACTTTTGTTTTTGATGCTCTTGAGTCTCCCCTCCCTTTGCTCTCCGTGCTAAGTCACTTCCCCTTCAGTGTGAATCCCGGTAATGTAACTACTGCACACAGGAACAGGTTTGTCAAGTTGTTATGTACAGTTTTGTATCCTGTTTTTTAGGATGTAGGTTTTTGGGGGCTGAGTTTTGTACAGAATCTTAACTCTAAACTTAAGAGGATTCGAATAGAGATCACTTAATTACTCAAACATGCTTGGATGACTCTAAAACCTTGTCAGAAAAATTTTTGCCTAATACCCCCTCTTTAATAAAATATCACCAATATTCAATTAATTAAAGCTACACAAAAGGCAGGGGACACCCCAGGATCTTTTTTTTTTTGGTTAAAACTTTTCTTTTTTATTTAAGGTTTTCAAGAAACCTCAAGAAAGACTTTACTATATTATTTAGTTAATTTTGAGTACATTTTTGAGCAATGATTTCTCAAAAGTAAATTGTGTATGCCAAATTTCAATGTATTTTTGTTATTAGAATCTGAATAATTGTTTGAAATGAATTAAATTCTAATAATCCTAGGGAAGTCCTGTGTTATATTGCTTGCTAAAAATGTCATAAAAATATTGCGAAATTGAAGTTTGTTAACAGAAAAATCATTTGTCAGTGTGTTAAAGAGTTTCCATACATGAAAATATATATATTAAAAAAAAAAGGTTCATCGTGGGCAGTAAGTAAAAACCATGTTTAAGTGGCCATATTGGGAAGGTCAACTCAAAAGTACACAAAACAGTGAAACTGAAGTTTTATGTTTAAACTTAGGCTAACAACTTTTGAATTTGCAATTTTTCAAGTAGGTTTTCAGACCAGAGTCCACAGTTTAAAGGTGCATTGTGTAACTTTTATGGTGGAGGGCCTGTCAAAAGCTTTTCTCCATGGAGATGTTCTTGCTTCGTCTGTCTACATGAGGTTTTTTAAGATATTTTTGAGCACTTTTATAAAACTGTAATTGAATAAATGTAAAGTAGAGCTGTTTAATGTCACACTGGGGAACATTCTAGGCAAAGCAATGACATCTCCATAGAAACAAGCAGGTGACAGACAGACAGACAGACTGTGTAACCAAAAAGTTACACAGTGCACCTTTAAAATGTTAATATAAGAACCACATGCATTTAACATGTTTGTGCCAGTTTTACACATACAAAGATCCTCAGGGTAACACAGGGATATAGAAATCTGTACAAAGGCCATTTCTTTCTTTTCATTACTGTCATTACACATTTTATAGGTGTGACTATTCAAAATGTAAGTATTATTTAATTTATATTTTTAAGAATCATAATAAATACATTATTCAAATATTTTCATAATTTGTATATTTAGAACTCTTAAATTTGTAATAATTAAAAAGTGCATCATGCAACTTTTCTGGTGGAGGGTAGTGATGGGCCAAACGAGTCGACACGTCAGCTCTGGTGTCGAGCTGTGTCGCTGTGTGGATCACTTTAAGAAAAGTCATTTGACTGACACATCAACTGTGTCAGTTGGTGTGGCTCGTGGCTCGTGGCTCACGTGTCGGGAGCTCTGAGGCAGCTCGTGTAGAGCGAAGAGCGCGAGGCTCAAATCTGACACACTGTCTCTGTTCATCACCACAGAATCACAGAGAAACACCTGTTCTGTGTGGACTCATTTTAATCAGTCCCAAATTCTACAGATTTCTTAAAATAGCTACATTATTTTACTATCATTTGCACACCCATTCACCTCGTCATGTACGTTTTTTATTGTACAGCAGGCTGTGATTTGCTCTCATGACATGAGATTTGCACTGCTTTCTTGGTCAGTTTCTTTCATTTGTTGAATATCAGAGCACATTCATCACAAATGAGAATTCTCATGTCTGAAAGAACGAGCCCTGTGTCGTGTCAATGCGTCTGCATAGGAAACAGTTCATTTTAAACCACCAGATGGCGCTATAGAACGCACCAACACAGTGTCAACACATTGTTGAAAATGTGTTCCACACACCTGGAGGCTTCATCTCCCCATCACTAGTGGAGGGGTCGTTCACCTGCTTGTCCTCATGGAGATGTTATTGCTTTGTCTGGAATGTTCCACAATAGAAATGAAACCTAAATCTATCTGGACGGAGACAACTATAGGCCACATTACAGGTCAGATCTGTGGAGAGGCAACCCTATTCACAGAGAAAATTATAATATTTTTGATCAACAGAAACACCCGTAAAGAATAAATGCTAGATAGATGTGTTTAATGTCATACCATGAAACATTTCAGGTGAAGCATTAACATCTCCATGGAGACAAGCAGAAAAGTTGCGCAGTGCACCTTTAAATAATATACACATGATTTGTTTCTAATTTATGAACACGCCTTTTTGATTTAGGCACAACACAAAACTTCATCCTACATTGTTACATGTATTGTTTTAAATTCCTGAGTGCTGACCAATATTTTGACCTTACCAATATGGCGGCTACAACAGCAACCACAGTTCTCCAGCTACAAGCACGAGAAGAGTAAGAGACACGTTTAATCTCAAATCACCAGATCCACAGATGATTGTCGTCATGGTGATCGCAGTCAATGATGATTTCTCTTTAAAAAAAAAATTAAAATAAAGTAGAATTTGTTGTTTCCTCGTTTTGATTCCTATGCAGCAGCAGCAGAGTGTTGTGGGTACACTGTAAAAATGACTAGTCTCATGAGTTTGAATAACTTGAATTCAGAATATGTGTCTTTATTTGCACAGTCAGATCTGTTTGTAAGTTGTAGGTCTGGAGATTTATACTTAATTCAAAGTATTTTCCTGGTTTCAGTACTTTTTAAAAATTGTAAAGGCCCCTCTTGTAATCTGTAAACCATGTTACAATGCTGTTACATCATCAAAAACAGACCTGGAGTTGTGTTTTGTTTCATTCACACATGTTTATGTAATCCTGCATTATTGCTACTGTACACCAAAAACTCAAAATGCTCTGTTTTCTGTTTGAGAGAAGAACTCAGCCTATATATGAAGAGTTTGCGGACTGACCGAAAGTGTGTGAATGAAACACAACACAACTCCAGGTATGTTTGTGACGAGAAAACAACACGATAACATGAATCAGAAAATAGAGTAACATGGGCCAAACTGGAAATGACAATTGAGCACAGAGAGACCTGGACCTGCATGAAGTTTGACCCCATCAAGCGCAAACCTACACAATAACTATGGCTACGTTCAGACTGCAGGGCTTAATGCGCAATTCCGGCAGCGACGTCCGTTGAAAGGAACGTGTGGATGTGGAGACGGAGCCAAGAGTGGTGAGTGGTGATGTGCTTCACTTCAGTGACACGGAGTTCATTAACAATTTTCACCTACTTCAGCGCAGAATAGTGACGTTTGTGTCTTGTTGATAACGTGTAGGTGGATGAATGCACTTTGACCGTTCAGACTGAAGTCACATGTCAAAAGATCAGATATGTATCAGTTTCAGGAGCATATATCCAAGTGTCCTGGGTCACACTTGAAAAAATGGGATCTGTGTCGTTCAGACTGTCATTAAAAGATCAGATACAGGAACATAGGGGCCAAAACATCGGATTTGGGTCACTTCAGGCTGCAGTGTGAGCATAGCCTGTGTCAATCGTTTGTGCTCCGTTTGTGCTGTTTTGTGCTGTAAAAGGTTTTGTTTGTGCTGCTATAGTTTTTGAGATATTAACAATTCTTTTATAGGTCAAATTAGGGTCAGCAGCCCCCAGGAGCATGCTCTAAAATGGCCCAAAATGGTGTCAATCATTTGTGTGATTATGGTTAAGATAACCAGCAATAGCCTCAAAACTGGCAGAAAATTACACAAAATGTTTGAATCTCGTTTGTGCTATTTTGTGCTGTGACAATTTTCATTTATGTTAATATAGTTCTAAAATTATGAATTATTATTTTTGTGAAAATTACATGACATCATTTCCTCTCAGCTGACAGCAGCGGCTTTAACAAAACTGTAAAACTACTGAAGATAAATGATCTCAGGCTCAGGCTGTGTGATTATATCAAATATGAATCAAGTTACTAAAGACTGATACAGACTTTTCCACAGCCTGAGATCATTTATCTTCTTTAGTTTTGCAGAGTTTTGCTAAAGCTGCTACTGTCAGCAGAAATAATTATTTCCACAAAAATAATACATTTTTTTTTTTATATTCTAACATAAATGAAAATTGTCAAAGCACAAAACAGCACAAACTAAATATAAACGTTTTGTATAATTTTCTGCCTGTTTTGAGGCTATTTCATATTTTGAGGGGCTGGATGACGTCATCAGTCGAAAATAAAACTGCTTATATCTTAAGAACCAGAATCGCACAAACAAAACTTTTTGCAGCAGAAAACAGCACAAACAAAGCACAAATGACCCCATTTTGGGCAGTTTTAAAGCATTTTGAAGCTTCCTGGGGGCTGCTGACCCTAATTTGACCTATAAAAGAATACCTCAAAAACTATAGCAGCACAAACAAAACTTTTTGCAGCACAAAACAGCACAAACGGAGCACAAACGATTGATTGATTGTTTTTGTGTAGGTTTGCACTTGATGGGGGCAACTTCACGGAGGTAAACCTCGGTGCTATGTGCGAAGGAAATTGACGAATACAGATGCATGAAAAAAACATTTACTATCAGTCAAAATCTCAAAGTCTTACTCAAATAAAGAGACATTTTCTGAATTCTTGTGCTATTACCTAATTAATGTAGACATGTGATTTTTGCAGTGTATCTTGTTTTTTGGTCAGGAGGAAGTGACATCAGACGTTTTCCTAATAACGCTGGCCCTGTTTTCGTGGGCGTGGCCTGAAGCGGAGGGCCCCGTGAGGGTGTGCAGGGGGGGAGTCCATGCGTTGGGGTGGTAGCTGATGAGGGGGGTGGGGTCACGGGTGCTGGTCACTCTGAAGTTGGGCTTGTTGCCGCTGACGAACGTGGACATACCGGGCAAGGAGCCGGTCGGGAGCCTGAGGACTGATGTGGAGTAGCTCGTCCTCCAGAGGGCGCCACCACCACACTGCAGAGAGAAGAAGTGGACGAGTTATGGATTAAGAACCTAAACAGATTTTTTTTTTTTTGTTAATACATACAATTCACACAATATATAAGGCAAGAATATACAAAAAGCAATTATACAAGAGGAACAATAAAATATTTAAATGAAATGCAGGGGGAAATAATACTGTGAAATTATACATATTTTCTGGAGCTATTGCATGTTTTAATATCTTTTTGTTTTGAACCTTTTTATTGTCTGGAAATATCGCTGTCATTTTTGTAGTGATGATGACGACGACGGTTTGTTTTGTTTTTTTGAATCCATTTGGTTTAGTGTACAAGATATTCGGCCGGCAGGATGAGAGAGGAGCAGAGGAGCAGAGGGGAGAGAGAGAGACAGAGAGAGAGAGAGAGAGAGAGAGAGAGGGGGGGGAGCAGAAAGAGAGAGAGGAAGAGGAGAAAGAGGAGCAGAGAGGCAGAGGAGAAAGAAGAGCAGAGAGAGAGAGAGAGAGACAGGTGCAGAGGAGAGAGAGGAGCAGAGAGAGACAGGAGAGAGAGAGAGAGAGAGAGAGAGAGAGACAGAGAGAGGGGGGAGCAGAAAGAGAGAGAGGAAGAGGAGAAAGAGGAGCAGAGAGGCAGAGGAGAAAGAAGAGCAGAGAGAGAGAGAGAGAGACAGGTGCAGAGGAGAGAGAGGAGCAGAGAGAGACAGGGAGAGAGAGAGAGAGAGAGAGAGAGAGACAGAGAGAGGGGGGGAGCAGAAAGAGAGAGAGGAAGAGGAGAAAGAGGAGCAGAGAGGCAGAGAGAGAGAGAGAGAGACAGACAGGTGCAGAGCAGCAGAGGAGAGACAGGAGCAGAAAGAGGGAGAGAGAGAGGAGCAGAGAGAGAGAGAGAGAGACAGGTGCAGAGGAGAGAGAGAGGCAGAGGAGAAAGAAGAGCAGAGAGAGAGAGAGAGAGAGAGAGAGAGAGAGAGAGAGAGAGAGAGAGAGAGGAGAAAAGGTGCAGAGGAGCAGAAAGAGAGAGAGAGGAGCAGAGGAGAGAAACCAAAATGACCCTGTAGAGAGGACTATTACTTATAGTTATTTTTTATTTTATTTAGAATATTACTCTTCCAAGTCAAATGAACATCTTTGGTTGATATGTTTGAACATATTTTTCATTTGTTTTATCGTCAAATTCAGGATTATGTAACATGTCCTCCTCCTTTGTTGCTGTCCCTGAACTTGTGTATTTCCAACAACACAAACTCCACACTGCGAGACGAATACAGAGGAATCGAGGAAAAGGTAGCGAAGAAAGAGAAATGAGATGTGGAAACTGTAAGTAACCTGTGCTCTTACCGTTTTACAAAAGGCTCTACTGAATAGGCCTGTCACGATAAATACTATATAGACTCATTGTGTAATATATGAAAGTATATTTTGGGGTTCAGTATTTATCATGTGTACATTTTCTTGGGGAGACTTGGGGTATTTTTGTTGAATAAGTGACTTCTACGGCTAATTATTAGTTCAGTCTGTTACTTATTTGTTGCAGCTCAGGCCTTTTCACGAGGCTGTCTCTTTAAAAATAGTTTACTGGGATTATCTTGCATTATTGTTGTTGTTTTAGGGGCTTAACGTGGTTTCAGTTGTGCTTCAAAGTTTGTTATTGTGACAGGCCTATTACTGCCCCTGCTATGCCAGAGTCTTTGGTTGTGTTCACACTTGCACATAGGCCACATCAAAACTGGGATTACACTACTAGGACTACACCCCGGAACTAAACCGAGACTCTAACAGGACCAAACCAAGTCTACATTGGCCTTAAACAGGACCCCAACCAGCCAAATCATGACAAGTGTGAATGAACCCTAAAATTTGCAGATAAAGGGACCTACACGGGCCTGCAGCATTGCAAATTACGTAGTGCGATGTATTGTTGAAGAAAATACACTACTGATCAAAAGTTTTAGAACACCCTCATTTTTCCAGTTATTTATCGCAACTCAAGTCGTGCGAGTCCAGTGAAGAGCTTGAAATGGTACAAAGTAGGGATGGGCATTCGATGAAATTTTCTTAATCAATCGTCGGAAGAATTAACAATCGATTATCGATTAATCATTAACGTTTTTATATTAAAATGATCATCCTTATTATTACTATCTGCACTACTAATCTGCATAAATAAATTCAACTTTACGACATATAAACTGTAACAACTCTAGAGCCACATCAGCTGTTTGACATTAGAATGTGTTTAATTCAGTTTTGTGCAAATCTCACAGAAACAAAACTTAAAACCACATCGCTAATTTGCATAAACTAAGCGAAGATAAAACTCCAGCTCTTGTGTCGCTGATGCGGTTCAATTTCTGTCAGATTAAAAGACATGACTCAGGTGAATACAGATTAGTGTGACCAGATTTGTGTTTGTCAAAACCAGGACAGCGTACGGGGGGAGGGGGGCGGGGCCTCGTCATCCACATTGCGCGACTCTCACCTGGTGAAACTTTTTCCCACTGGACACAGAAACATATGTGCTGCTATGTACACTGTGCACATGGACTCACACTTGTCCCGAACGCAACGGAAAGTGTGGAATTTCTTGTACAAATCATCGTTAAATCCACATTTGTGCTTCGGTACATTACAGACTGACCCACTGTTTGTGTCTCGCTCCTTCTGATGCAGAGACACATGTACACACCTGTATGGTCACGATACACACAGCAACCATACATTCGGTTTGTCGATTAAAATTAACGTAATCGATGAAATTCTTAATGATCAATTATCGATTAGTTGACTAATCATGCCCATCCCTATTAACTACATATTGTGCTTAAATGTAATGGGCTGTAAATGGGCAACATAAGATACATACTGTATTTCCACATGTGTTTTAATGTGCACTCTCTCTGATAAATAATAATAAATGATAAATAAATAACCTTTAGTGTGGGGATGCTCCGGGATCATACTGGCACTGAATATCAGTCGTATGAACTGATGTAATAAGACTATTTACTGGTCTTAGTTGTGTCTGCGCTGGTGTTGGGAGGTATCGGAACTGAAAAAGCTGTATGCATCCTTACTTTTGTGCACCACTTAGCGCTTCATAACAAATAAATATAAACACTGTGTCAACCAACGGTGATCTAAACATTTTGATAGCACAATATCCAAGTCAAACCCAAGTCTATTTTTACTACCATATTTTTCGGACTATAAGGCACACTTAAAATCCTTTCATTTTCTCAAAAATGGACAGTAATTAATTCTGGTTGTGCTTACTGACCTCGAACTGATTTTATGTGGTACACGGCGCTCAAAAATCTGTCAAAATGTTTTAGTACGTCTTTGGTAAACTTGTTGGAGCATTACGGCTGCTGTAGTCAGGAGCCTCGCGGAGAAAAGGGTGAAGTAGTTCTGCGTCGGCATTTATGACATCAGTGAAATGCTACAGAGAATATACGACCATTCATATAAACGGTCTATGCATATAACCTGCAGACTTATAATCTCACATGAACCAGAAGCACAGAACAGACTCATCATCAGCAGCACATCCCTCTGCCACAGAAAGAACTCACATATTCCACTGAGTCGTGTCCTTTACTCTGATAGAAGCCGTACCACATCAGGGCACAAGGAGCGAGCTGTTTTTTCTTTATGCAAATGAGCCATATGGTTTTAAATTTTGTTTTTGTAAAACGTAAACAAATATGGCAAAGTTGCATTAACTCTTTCCCCCCTGGAGGCCTGACTAGGAACAACCCATACATATATTACTAGTTCTACCCTTAGAGCATAACTGCATAAAAGAAAACAGACTTCCACGAGTGATTATAAATGATTTTTACACTCACGAACTTAATTGAAACACAGACATATTTGTATCTCTGAACTCTTCATTTCTGGATGTTTAAATGTGATTCAACTCATTTACAGGTTTATAACAGCTCACTGAAAATGAGAGTTTGCCTGGTCAGGTGCAAAATCCAAAACAAAAAACTATATTCAGCATCTGATATCTGCATGTTCTGAGTACTATATTCATAAAAAAATTAAAAATATACTTTGTCAAAGTATTTAAACAGATTTCATATCACCAGATACAGTAGACCCAAGTGTACACCTGTTTGTACCTGCTGTACACCTGCGTGGACCTAATAATTTTTTTTTCCATTTAACTTATTCAACTCATTTAGCTTATTCAACTTATTTAATTTATTCAACTCATTTAACTTATTCAACTAATTTAGCTTATTATAATATAATAACATAATACTAAAACTCTTCCCAGTCAGTGGGTGTTCAGTATTTGTCATCTTGGTTACTTTCTCGTGTGCAGAGCTCCGCATAAACGTTTGTTTCTGTAGTGATTCTGTTATACATTGCATCTTGGAAAAAAAGACTGAAATATTTTAAAGGACTCGCCAGAGCAACATCCAGATTTCAGGGCAATTCTGGTTCATAATCGAGTATAAAGTCCCGGATAGTTTGTTCGGAAATCGCAGGACTCCATACAGACGCGTCACTGGAATTCTCATCTTTGTAAGATTCACTCTCTGAAAGTCCGTCTCTATCACTGTTTTCCACTTTATAATCAACTTCATCATCACTTTGAAATCTATAAAAGTCACTTTCTCTAAACTTATCTATAAAATACATCCACTCCTCATTATTTCTAAAACTGTGCGCGGCAGCGCTGAGATCTTTCCATTGCACGTGTTTCGTGTTGTGTTTTTTTCCGGAACCTACCATCGTCACTACTTCGATTAACTTTGGAAAAAATCGGCGAAAACATATCCTTGAATCCTATTGGTCAGCCTAGTGTGGGTTGTAGTGGCAGCGACCTATCAAAGTCTCTGTCAAATCACGTCTTTAGTGAAACAGCAGAGGTGTCAAAACACGTCATTAAGGAAACAAGGGGGTCGTCAAATGTCGTCTTCATGGGGGAAAGAGTTAAAGACATGATTACTCAATGTATATTTGAGTCGTTCTCGTAGGAATAAAAAAACAAACTTAAATTTTCCATCCACATTCACATTCATAATCAACATTCATCGAGACAGGGAGGCAACGCCGGGCGAGTTACGCCACGATCTGCCGATGGATGGATGTCTGGGCTAAAAATCAGTCTCAAGTGTCGTCCGTTTGTTTTGCTTAATGTGCCTTATAATTCAGTGCACCTTATGTATGAAAATAAACAAGAGAATTCAACATTATTGATACTGTGCATTATAATCTTGTGCAGCTTATAGTTCAAAAAATACGGTACAATCAGAATTGCTTCATTTTTAGTTGGGAAAGAAGTAACTAATGCCAAAGAAAATAATCAATAGACCAGCACTGTGTCCAAACCTGAATCTCATATGACCATATAAACAGTGGGAGCTGCTGAGCCTCTGACACAGTGATATTTAACCCAGTTCATGATGACACCATTTGGATGTAAACAAAACAGACTGGCTCAGAGTAGATAAATATTTGAAATCAAACTGCCATAGTTTTAGTTTGCATTTCCTGTTTTTCCCCTTTTTTCACAGTTTCACTACATCCATTTCCTCGGTGGTTTTCCTCTAAGCCAGTGGGTATATTGTGCTATTTTCTGATTTATGTTATAATTTTGTTTTCTCATTAAAAACATACCTGGAGTTTTGTTTCATTCACACATGTTTGACACACAAATCCTGCATATTGAGACTGAGAAACAGAAAACAATCTGTTCCACTTTGTGATCTCCATGAAGATAGAAATGTTTAATGCTATACTGTGAAAACATTCCAGACAAAGCTATAACGCCTGGGTGTCAAACTCATTTTCACCAAGGGTCATGTTCGTCATCAAAGGGCCGGTTGTAAAGTTCAAACTGCAACTGTAACTGTAATATCAGTATGTTACAAAACTGTAAAAGTCTGTATTTGAGTTTTCATTTCATATTTATTTATTTTGTTTATTTGTATGTTTTGTTTAGTTTTTTTAACCTTTTTAATATTTACTGGTATTCTTGCTCTTATTTGATTTGACTGGTTTTATTGACTTAATGAGGATTAGTAGAGTTAATAAGAGCTTTACTTTATATTTCTATTGGACATGTTTTATCTGTTTTGTGCAGCACTTGGGAAACTGTTTTGTTTATGAAATGTGCTGTAGAAATAAAGTGGATTTGATTTGATTTAAAGGTTTAAATTAAAACATTCACATTCCTCCTTCAGTAACATTCATGAAATAGCCGTCCCTTCTGCATCAATTTTTCTTTTCTTGGATATTTTTGGCGAAATTTGATGATGTTTTCTTGGCCTCTTCAGTGGCGGGATGCAGTCACATCACGGGAAACAGCTGCAGTGCATTGTGGGAGATGTAGTAGCGGCACAGAGTCACAACATAATAATAAATTATACCTTTTAACCCCTTGTGGGCCACAGAAAATGGCCTTGACACATGTGCTATAACGTCTCCAGGCAGAAAAGCATTTGGCAGACCCTCCATCAGAAAAGTGAATGCACCTAAGCGGCAATAACACTCTCAGAAACACTAGCTTTACTCATAACTGTCCCATTACCCCTCCAAGTCTTTTCCTTTCAGTTTGAACAATGCTTTTCTAAATGACGCTGAGACGGTGTAGTTAGTGTTTGACTTGAGTTCCTGGTACACCCCTCCCCTTTTCTCAGAGCCTCACTGTGCTACAGGAAGCAACAAAAACAAGACAAAATCCAAGAAAACACTCCCTTGTTTTGCTTCAACATTTAAAAACGGGTTCAAACATGTCCACAATAACCAAATAAAAGTCTTTGGACAAATGCTACTTACTTTATTCGTCTCCTCTGTGTCACTTTCTGTGTCACTGCCTGCAATGAGGATAATGAGAGGTTAGAGCCGTTCAAAATGATGAAACATTGAATACTCTTAGGATGAAGAGCAATGATTTACAAGTTAAAAGGTGCATTGTGTAATTTTTCTGCGTATGTCATCTGCTTGAGTCTATGGATATATCACTGCTCTGCCTGGAATGTTCCACAGTATGACATTAAACATTAAAGACCTGTGACTTGGCCTGGTTTGATCTCCATGAACACAGAAAAGCTTGACACCAAACTGCGAAACATTTCAGACAAAGCTTTAACATCTCCACTCAGAAAAGCATTTGACGGACCCTCCGGCAGAAAAGTTACACAGTGCAACTTTAATATGCAAAGGTATACAGCCACACTACAGTGAGTTAATATGAACATTTTAAGACCAAAATGAGTCTGACAGCAGATACAGAGAGACGGGCGACAGCACAAAGTTAACTGGAGCTAGAGTCGTTCACGGCAAAACTACCGCTATTTGTCGATGCTGCTTAACATTAGACTTTTCTAGTGCAGCTGTTAGTATTCTGCCCTACAAAGGTAAAAGGCAGCAGCATCATGTTCGGTGAAAAATGAGTTCATGTCATTTCAGGGGTATTTGAGACCTCCTTTATCGTGTGAATAAATATTGTGAAAAATATTGAGCTCAAATTTGTGCAAACGCAACTGACACTGTTACTGCCTTTTGCCTTTGCACGACTCCTTATTTTTGGAGTACAGTAACTAAATAAGGGTCAAAGGTCAATTTTGAGCTCAATATTTTTCAAATACAAATATTTCTTCATTATAGCAACTAGTTGTCAAATTTCGGGAGCCCTACTTGTTATACTTTTGTCTGGACAAAAAAATAAACTTTGAAGTTCTTTTTCTCAGTTTCACATTCTGGTGAGTTCAGATCTTTTGCCTTCGTAGGGCAGTATTGTGTAATTTCAAACAAATTTCTTCATTGGTACTGTAATTGTAAGGAATGTGGTAGGACCACAACATGAGAGCCACCCACAACCATCAGATTAGAAGCAGTAGTAGTAGTAGCAGTAGTAGTAGCACTCCATTGTAGCACTTTGTTCAACCTTTTCGTGCATTCTAAGTAAAGTTGAAGTTGAAGTTTTTGGCTTTGGCTTTGACTGTATGTGCTTAGTTATGCGTTTTATTTAGTAGTTGAACCAGTTGAATACTTTTACTCCTGGTTAGTAAATTTCTTGGAATGCTTCCTTGTTACAGGCTTTAACAAGGAAGCAAAAGTTAAGGTAGTAGCAGCAGTAGTAGTAGCAGTAGTGGTAGTAGCAGTAGTAGTAGCAGTAGTAGCAATAGTAGTAGCAGTAAGAGTAGTAGTAGTACAGCAGTAGTAGTAGTACTAGCGGCACTTGTAGTAGTGTTAGTAGTGTTAGTGTCTGTTCAGCACTTTGAAGCTTTGACTGTTTGTGGATTGGTAGTTGTGGCAGTTACACACTTCAATACTAGGACTAATTAGTAGTATGCGGCGCTTCCTTGTTCCAGGCTTTGTGCCATAATCCTGGCAGCAAATGTTGAGGTAAAGTGCAATATTGATGTAGTAGTAGTAGTAGTAGTAGTAGTAGTAGTAAGTTTGTGGATCTCTTCCTTGTTAGTTAGTTGTTGTTGTATTATTAATTTGCAGAACTAAAGTAAAGTCCTTGATACAGCACGAGTAGCAGTAGTAGTAGTAGTAGTAGTAGTAGCAGTAGTATTAATTCCTTGGACCTCTTTCATATTATTGTCTTTTGTTAGTATCTTGGCAGTAAATGCAGAGGTAAAGTACAGTAGTAGTAGTAATAGTAGAAGTAGTAGTTGTTGTTGCTGTAGAAGTAGCAGTAGCAGTAGTAGTAGCAGTAATTCCTTGGATCGTTTCCTTGTTACAGTCTTTGTGTTAGTATCTCGGCAGTAGAAGCAGAGGTAAAGTACAGTGTTATGAGACAATAGAGATAAATAAGGAGTGGAGCTGTAGAACTGGTTTTGCCTGAACACTGAGTTTGGATTGAAGTCAAATCAAAAGCTCTGACAACGATACAGTCAAATAATACAGACAGAGTGGACGAGTTCAAATGAGGTTCAAAACAAAAGCAGCTACCTTCAAAGTTGATATGCACACTGAAAACTACAATTTCATACTATGGCTTTCCTGTTGGGGACTATAAGAAACACTACAATGTGATTTTTAACGCGACTAAAAGTTTGAATATATATATATATATATATATTTTTTTTTTTTTTCACTTTGGTTGTATTTACTGCACTAAAGGAAGTAGAATAACATGTGTCTACTTCTGCTTGTTTCCATGACATAAAACGTCTTCTAACTATCTCAATGGGGAAAGTATAGTTTCAACTTTCCATGTAATTGTGCAGGTTATGTGCTGTCTCCAGAAAGTTACATAATGCAGCTTTAACTAAGTCTTGTCTTTTATGGTTTGAAAATGGTAGAAATCAGATACAGCTCCTTTAAAAATGAACGCGACCTCTTGTGCACGCGCTGTAGGAGACAGGTTTGGAGGTGGATGGAACTGAGGTGAGAAGAGGTAACAGTCCAGTCTTGGAATTTGATCATTTTTGGCTTTAAATATCTGCTGATACCAGATATCGGCTGATACAAGGTCAGAGACTGAAAATAAAAATAATTTCCTTTAAACACAAACCTCATCAAGTAAAAAATTATCCAGATGTGGTTTGTAATTAGAGAACAGGTTTGTAAAAATACAAGTTTATATTAAGACATTTTGGGTCAACATTAACCTGTAAATAATATTGTTAGACCAATTTATAGACCAAATATCAGCTGAACCAATATCTTGGAACCAATATCTGATATCCCAAAATTTCTCAATATCGCACCTGTTATCCAATACCTGCATTGTATCATCTATCCCTAAAAATAATTGCAGCATAGCAGTAGCAGCAGTAGTAGTAGCAGTAGTAGTAGTAAGTTTTTTGGGTTTTTTTTGTATATAGCGCTTTTCACAGACATATGTCACAAACGCTTTACTACGCTTATTCATTCACTGTGGTGGTGGTAAGCTACTAGTAGTAGTAGTAGCAGCAGTTGTAGTACTGACCGTATGAGGAGACAGGGGAGATCTGGAGGGGGTATGAGTGAGATGAAGTCACAGTCTGCTCCTGTGAATCTTCAGTCGTCACTTCCACCGTCTGACAAACAAACGGCAACTGCTCCGACAAAACCATGTGACCCTCCTCTGAGCTCGGCAGGTCTGAACACACAAACCACATTAAAATAATAACATTCAGCTAAAATACAAATACAGCTAACTCTATCTCAATTTTGATACTGGGGAAAATGCCTGATACTCAACAACATATTTGATTTGATTTTGATAACCAGATTTCGATGTATTTAGCAGAGTCCTCCAGTGAACCTGCTTTCTAGTTCTATGACACACATAGATCACGCTGCACATTTTAAATAGCAAAATTCATTTAAAACGATTTCATAAAAGAAACTTGCTTGAAGTCACTAGATTATTCAAAAATGCATAAATGACATATAAAATATCTTCTCTTCTTTTTGATAACGTTATTACATGGTAGAAAGATTCAGAAAGTCAATTTTGCACAATACTCTCTCTTTAATAATGGATATAGCTACTCTGCCATTAGGAGAACCTCACCATTTATGTGATATTCAGTTTCTTGCAATGACACAATGTGCAGCATGACTCTAGAAACCAACGACACTACGGTAAACTCCGGTTTAAGGTTCTACACAATATTGCCTCTTGTGAGCTTTAATCCATGTTAGAACGTTGTTACCTCATCAAAAAACATATCTGGTGTTTTGTTTCATTCACACATGTTGGAGTAATCCTTTATTCTTAATCCATCTACATCTCCTAAACTCAAAATGCTTTGTTCCACCTTGTGATGTCATGAAGCGGTAGATTAGTAATGGTCACCTTTTACATTGTGTTCAGTACAGATGGGTAATTCCAGGTCTGAAATCATCCAAATGATTCTAGTGAAGGTGTATGGAGTTTAAACACAGTGCAGCATGTGACATCACAAGGTGTTTTCAAGTTGAGAGCCTTAATCTGCATGGTTTGTGTGTTAAACTTGTGTGAATGAAACAAAACACAACTCAAGGTACGTTTTTGAAGAGGAAAATATATTATAACAACATAGATTAAAAAAAATAATGTAATATGGGCCCTTTGAATATGGTACCTGCAGCACTGTCAGTTACATCTGGAGACTCCTGTTTGACTCTGGACAGGTCTGGTTTGGTGTAGTCTATGGGACCATCTTCAGGACGATACTTCTCTGAACTCGAGACCTGAAAATCAAACAAAACTGCATTTAGAATATTTTAATCTGAAGAAATTTGCAATTAACTGTTTTATTTAGTAGTGCTGTAGTGGTATAAAGGTGCACCATGCAACTTTTCTGATGGAGAGTCGCCACCTGCTCATATCCATGGAGATTAAGGCTGAACGAAAAAATGTAAGTGTATTTGCACTATGTTTTGATAACACGTTTCTGAATTCTGAAAAACACTGAAATATGAACTGACTACTAATACAAGAATCACATTTCAGAACATGTTTTTACAGATCTAAACTAAAGGGATAGCAGTTTCTACACAGAATATTTAGTTGTTTGTGGAGGAACTTATTAGGGATGGGCGATATCTCGATATTTTAAATATATCGAGATATTTTTTAAACTCGATATGGATTCTGACATATCGTATATATTGAGATAATGTTTATATTCAGTTCTGAGTTCGCCGCTTCGCTTGTTTGCCTTCTCTTTGCTTGCCCCCGCGCCCCGCCTCCTTGATTTTTCTCGTTTGTGTCTCATTCACTCGTCACTACCGCCGTGAATGCAAATGTTAGTGCCAATGAAAAGCTTCTAGTACCACAAATCTTTTCCACCATTTACAAACAAGGCCATCAGCAGCACATCCTCACAGAGAGAACACTCATATGAACACTGAGTCGTGTCCTTTAGTTTGAAAGAAGCTAAACCACATCAGCGGCACTTGGAGTGAGCTGCTTATGCAAATTAGCTATGCGCTTTTAAGTTTCATTTCTGTAAAACATAAACACATGTGTGCAAAACTGCATTAAACACATTATAATCTCAAATGGGCTGATGTAAAGTTTAGCAATGTAAAGTTTATTTATGCAGAAGATTTGAATGAATGATCTGCTGCAGTGTCACTTGTACTTGTGTTTGGAAACGTTGGGTTTGAGCTGCAGTGGATTGTGGGAAACCTCAGAGCTCCTCACACTGGTGAGGAACATGGATCTATTAAAATAAGGAACCTCCCAATCTTCCTATGCTGAAGGAGCTCATGGTTATGGTTATGATTTGGTTAACAGAGTTAATGCAAAGATGAGCTTGAGTTGAGTTGTTTTATTTATAAATGAAAAGAAGGAAATATGTATTATTTTCTTTTATTTTACAGTTAAATTATTATTTATGTAATTAGGGATTTTTTGTAATCTTAAATGTGGCAGAAGCACTTTGTTCCTACATGAACTGCCCACTTTTTGCACTTCAATTTTTTTTAAAAAGACCTTGTGGAATTTGGCATATCTGTTTGTGCAGTTTTCAGTTTTAGGGGGTTATTTTTTCTGGTACAGATATCAAGATATATATCGTATATAGAGATATAGCAAAATATATTTGTAGTAGTAGAAGTTTTATTTGGATTATTTGGTCATTTTGCAGCACTACAGAACAAAACAAAACTACTACTACTATAGACTACAACCCCATGGATCATGACCGAAAGAGTGTAGGCTGAAGCAAAAGTACTTATAATGCCAAAACCTGTTACACAAAGACAGAATTCTAAGAAAGAAAAGCAGTGTATGAACAGCAAGTTTGTATTTACAATTTCATTTGTGACTTACTGTATATATAAGAGACAAAACATAATTTAAAACTAATAAAATGTAATGCATAATTCATCCATTTCTTTATACTCTTCTTTTTAAAGGCTTCTACAGTTTTAGACTTTTTAAAATCATCACTCAGGTTGTTCAATATACTGTATTTTCCGGGCTATTAGACGCGCTCTTAAACCTCTAACCGCATCAAAAAACAACCGCACCCCACAATCCAGAGCATCCCATACACAAATCCACTCTGGTGTCCCAGCCCGACTTCAGTTAACTATAAAGCTGTACCACCCGCAGAACACACAAACACACACTGAGCAGACAGCGACCGCACAGCCAAAAACACCCACAGACACACTCATCACTCCACGCCAACGAGGAACGAAACGGAGGAACGAATAGAAAAAACGAGTGCAATGTGCCACTTCTAGACACAACTGAACAACTGAGTCACTGTGAACACGCCGACAATCCGTTGGTCCCAGACACACCCTCCCTACACGCCACAACTGAACAAAGCCCAGAGTCACCGTGAACGCCACAAATAAACAAAACCACTCACCCATCACACTGTTGGGTTTCCTTTAAAGTCCCACACGGTTTATTTGTGAAAAAAGTTCGAAAATAGACCATTTAATGACTGTGTGTCTTCTAATCCAGAGCACCTAATAGCCCGGAAAATACAGTACTCTAAACACAGACCTGGGCATTGTCCAGCTCCCGGGCCACATACGTTCCTTTGGTTGACTCTGACTGGCCCGTTTAAGCTCATTTGGAATTACAAACTAAACATATTTCATCATTTGACCTTATGGATGGACTAAAGCTGCATTGCTTTTATTGTAGAGGTGATTTTTAATGTCATTTTTTGTAAGGCAACCTCACTTTTTCATTGCTAAGTCATAAGATAAACTCATACAAGCTCGTCAAAACAATGCTATTTACTGCTTTTTATAAATAAATACAATCAATATTATGCTGATTTGAGTTAAGCATTTTGGCCCTCCACAATATCTTCTGTTTCTCATGTGGAAAATATAATTTCCCACCCCTGCTCTAAAAGAAACACAATCACTTTATTTTTATCTTATCTTCATTTTTTTAAAGATGCTAGTTTTAAAACACTGCAGTCTTTGTGGTTTTCTAACAGTTTCAACATTATTGTGATTAATCTTGCAGCCCTAAAAGACAGAGAAAAACAGGTGAGGCCATTTTAATGCCACAGTGTGGAATATTCTAGGCAGAGTAGCATTTCTAGTGGAGGGTCCGCCACCTGCTTATCTCCACGGAAATGTAACTGCTTTGTCGCCCCATTCACAGAAGGAATTATTGTATACTGTGGAACATTCCAGACAAAGCAATAACATCTCCATGGAGACAAGCAGGTACCACCAGGAAAGTTACATAGTGCATCTTTAAGTGAACACTGAACATGGCAAAAAAGACTTACCCTGCTTCCTTTTACCTTCGTCTCTTTGTCGATTCTCTTCTTTCCTGAAAGACACAAATACAACCCTGTGATAAAAATGATCAAATCAACATGTCTTCAAACTAAACTATGGGGCACTATGGCATAAATATCATATATTACATTTTCATTACATATTCCAACATATTTTCATCTCGATTCACACACTTCTATGTGATCACACTTCACCTGGAGTGGAAGAAGTACTCAATTTTGCTAATCTTTTGATAAAGATTTGTGCTGAATTTTGGTCAACAGAAAAAAACAGAATCAGCTGTTTTTCTCTCTCTGCTGGAGAAAAGAACTCACTAAATACGCAAGATCTGTGTGTTAATCATGTGTGAATGAAACACAACACAACTCCTGGTACATTTGTGATGAGAAAACAACATTATAACATAGATCAGAAAATAATACAGAGAAATATGGAATATTAATATAATATAAATATTTTAATATACCTAATACTTTATAATAATATAATACTTTTCATATAAATATTCTCTGTTTAGTATGTTGGCCCCTCACCTCTTCTCATGCTTCGTTCTGATGATGATAACATTTTGTAAACTCTAAAAGCATTGGTTCCCTTCTTGATGCTCTTGTCCTTCACCTCCTCGATGTCGGGTAAACTGTTCATGGCACAGCGGAAATTTGCCTTCCATGTTTTTGGGTCGGGGCGGTCCACTCCAGGGCGGTATTTACCTGCACAAAACAACAGATACAAGCACTTCAAAGGCTGTATTTTGATGTCATCAACACAACTTGAGGATGTGAGGCTAACTGAAAGCACTACCCTGTCTGAAGCTCTATTACTCAAGTTTGAGTTCATTTGAGCTTTGTTTTGACACATTCAACATATGATATGTCTGTCACACATTAAATTACAGTCTTAGGCTGCTACTATCTCTTAAAACTTTTTGTCTGTGTTTTCTAATGTGTGCATGGTGTCACCATGGTAACTCCTGAACATTTTGCCAATACAGATGCATGTAGGACACCCGCAGTGTGACGTCACTGCAAAGCATTAATAGTTCTGCTTTTACATGCACTTAAAAAGCGCTGCACCCAACGGTGGGCAATATGCCAAAAAGAGACAAGAGACAGAGACAAGAGACAAGAGACAAGAGACAAGAGACAAGAGACAGAGACAGGGACAGGGACAGAGACAAGAGACAGAGACTGAGACAGGGACAGAGACAGAGACAGGGACAGGGACAGAGACAGGACAGGGACAGAGACAGGGACAGGGACAGAGACAGGGACAGGGACAGAGACAGGGACAGGGACAGGGACAGGGACAGGGGTTGTAGAGATTCCGCACGGGCGAAAGGAGAGAGTGAGGACCGGGGCAAGACAACTGTAGTTTTGCGAGGATTCACGTGGTTTGGAGGACGTAGTTCCGAGTTGCAATTGATGTCAAGACGGTCGCCCTAACTATAAAGCACTGCGGGAAACACTGCCAATCACAGATGAGTTCCCTCATGAATATTAAAGAGCCGAGCCTCGGTGTAGCTGCACATGTAGTGGCTGAATGTAAACACACACAAATTGCGTAAACTCATGCACAGCCTTGCACCAAACTGAACGTCCTGTACTGAAACAGTTTGGTACGAATATCTTATATACACCGTTATACCCCTAGTCTTTACATCTGGTGCCAGAGCAAAAGGTTTTTGCCTCACTCAAGCTCTGGAAATTTGCCCATCTTTGAGCAGCTGTAGCTAACAGACAGACACAGACACAGAAACACTCACATATTTAGACAGAGAACACGTAAAACTCAGTTTTATTTTGTAGTGATAGGACCAATATTGATGCAGATAATCAATGCTAAAGTTGGTTAAAAAGCTCAAGAAATAATGTAATCATATAACTGTCTAATTCACCCAATAACAATGTATAAACACTTATACACTGTTTGACAAAACATCCACAAAACGATATTTAGGCCTTTTTATCCTGTAACTGTACAGTAAGAAAGAAGAGAGAAAAGCACTCCTCTACTGTCTGTGTCCGTCTGCACCGTGAGCACTAGAGCGGTGGGGGGGGGTGACCATGCACATGTAGAGCAGCAGCAGGAAGAGGAGGAGGAGGGAAAGGAGGGAGGAGCTGGAGCGAGAGAGAGTAGCAGATCCAGGTCTAGTTTAGTCTAGTCTCATTTAAATTATAAAATGAAATATAATATATTGAGTATATTGTAATTATCAGTGGTTCCGTGTGTGGGGATTTACACCGAAGAATTGGTGATTAAAGCTTAAAAGTTGTGTAATGCATTTGGCCTATTAAAAACTTCACTTAATTCTTAGGTGAAGTCATTTTTATTAACTCTATCAACACATACAATACATTCACAGCACAATATATAAAACTATTTCACTCATTTAAAATCACCAAAACTGTGCATTGATCCAATTATTGTATTTTATTTCAAAACCTCATCTCGTGAAAATTCTCTCTCTTATTAATCTGAACTCAGTCACCTAGTTATGTCTACGGAGACATTATTGTTTCACCTAGAATGTTACATCATCTGACATTAAATTGCACTTTATCTTGCAGCTTGCTTTTACTGCAAAAAATGTAAATACTTTGAAAAACATGCATTCATACTGTGGGAGTCGCTTCTCCACAGATCTGACCTGACACGCTTCTCCGGACTGTGCCCCTCCCCCCCTAAACTTTCATTTTCCGAGTTGTGCAATGCTTCGCTCTGAGCAGAACGGTTGTGTTTAGCTGGAGTTTTGCTTCCAAGGCAATGTGAAAGTGATGCGTTTGTGAAGAAATAAAACTGAACCGAGCTGAAGATAGAGGAAAGTGAAACTGTTCCTACCGTGTGGTATTATTTTACTTATAGACATGATTTTAATGGTGTGAAAAAAGGCAGCAAAGATTTAGATACTTGCTGTTTTTTAGAGGGATCAGAGAATCCTGTCAAAGCCATTATTTGTTGATTGTAAATTGTGTAACTTTTCTGGTGGAGGGTCTATTAACTGCTTTACTCCATGGAGATGTTGTTGTTTTGTCTGGAATGTGTCACAGTATGGCATTAAACCTTTCTATATTCATGGAGACCAAACAGACCAAGTTACAGTTTAGATCTGTGGAGAGGCGACCCCGCTCACAGTCAGAATGCCTGTTTTTCTAGGTATTTTTGAGCTTTAAAACCACCTGTAATTGGATAAATGTAAGACAAAGCTGTTTAAAGTCATACTGCGGAACATTCCAGGCCCACAGGTAGGTGACGGACCCCAACCAAAAAGTTACAAAGTGCACGGCTGATGTTACACCAGCCTAATTTTAAACATTTTGGAAAAACGTTTGTGGTTCAATTAAAAGGTTGAAATAAAATGAAAGAATGTTTTCATGATTTGAGAATACTCACATTTAGATTTCATTGTACTCTTTACATGTGAGTCAATGTCTGAATATGCAAACATATGTGAGTACGTGAATGGCCTGGAGCTGAGAGAAATAATTGTAACCATCAAGTTAAACAAACAAATAGTCCTCATTTCTAAGGAGGAAGATACATATCAAACCGCTAATAATAATAAGTGTTCCCTGTAAGAGGCACAGGCCGACTAGAGAAAAATACTGAGAGAGAGTGTACGTCCATCATGTCCAGGTATTGAAGCAGCTAATTGAAAGAGACAAAAGTAACAATTTATCTCACAGTGTGACACTTTAAATTCAACTAATAAATCTGAAAGTATTAAAGGAACAGTTTGTGGGCTAGGGATGGGCATGATTAGTCGATTAATCGATAATTGATCATTAAGAATTTAATCGATTACATTCATTTTAATCGACAAACCGAATGTAGGTTGCTGTGTGTATCGTGACCAAACAGGTGTGTACATGTGTCTCTGCATCAGAAGGAGCGAGACACAAACAGTGGGTCAGTCTGTAACGAACCAAAGCACAAATGTGTATTTAACAATGACTTGTACAAGAAATTCCACACTTTCCGTTGCGTTCGGGACAAGTGTGAGTCCATGTGCACAGTGTATAAAGCAGCACATATGTTTCTGTGTCCAGTGGGAAAAAGTTTTGCCAGGTGAGAGTCGCTCAATGTGGATGACGAATCCCCACCTTCCTCCCCCCGTACGGTGTCCTGGTTTTGACAAACACAAATCTGGTCACACTGACCTGTATTCACCTGAGTCATGTCTTTTAATCCAACAGAAATTAAACCGCATCAGCGACACAAGAGCTGTAGTTTTATCTTTGCTTAGTTTATGTAAATTTGCGATGCAGCTTTAAGTTTTGTTTCTGTGAGATTTGTGCAAAACTGAATTAAAACACATTCTAATAAACGGGCTGATGTGGCTCTAGAGTGGTTACGGTTTTATATGTCGTAAAGTTGAGTTTATTTATGCAAATTAGTAGTGCAGATAGTAATAATAATGATGATCATTTTAATATAAAAACGTTAATGATTAATCGATAATCGATCGTTAATTCTTCTGACGATCGATTAAGAAAATTTCATCGAATGCCCATCCCTGTTGTGGGCAAAAATGGTACTGCAATCACGTATGAAATACTGCAGAGCAGAGTATCCCCTCCTCCACTCAAGAGGTCCCCAGGTAGGTGTCCAAAATCAGAGGTGCAGGTGGAGGGTGGTGCAACAGACCAAAACATATAATATACACAGAATGACAACAGCAACATAAAGGGAATATTCAGGCTGGATTACTGTTCCTTTAAATGATATTAAGAAATTACTATTACAATTATTACATTACTGGCAACAGGTTATTACGTTATTGGTTCAGACATTTTATTACATTATTGGCTTCATTACTTTAAAATTATTACGTTATTGGCCATTATTAGGTTATCGGCCTCTACATGCCTCTCTGATCTGAATGATCACTCCCTAAACCCCAGAACCTGCAGTTAATCAGTCTGCAATGTGTGTGTAGACCTGTACCTGTGTGAATGGCCCATCTCATAAACAGAGGAGCATCTTTCTCCAAGTCCCAGCCGTGTCGAGCTGCATGCATCCACGGGATCTGGAATATTCGCTTTTCCTGGGAAAAAAATACAAACAGAAGGTTAAAGGTTATTCCTTTGACTCTATATAGTTATTTTCCTCTGCTTTTGTTCTTTGAGTATCTATATCCTGATGGAGGCCTAGCATGGCCAAATCATGTGAAGATTTTTTATTCA